TTCTGTCCCCCTCACTTCTGAAATGATGGCTACGCCCCTGGCATGTACACTCTCTGAGCCAGAACACTTAAATTAATACAAAACACTGTGCACAACACACACATAGACAATCACAATAGCCGGAAGAGAGTGAATGTACATCCAAATTGATGGCTAAATGCGGTAACATTCATCATTCTATTCCATCATTCCATCAGAAGGTGAGTGATGAAAGGTAATTATGACCAGAGGTGCAAAACAACAAGGGGAGGAGACTGAGATCTCAAGCACTGTGATTATAATCGGAAATGAATTTATTACAGAAACAACATGAACTCTAGACATGTAAGTTATACTAATTACAGTGTCATGCATCATTTGCAAGTACAGTTGTTGCTGCATTTACATTAAATACATTCTAGTCCTTTCAAATTACACTACTTTTTGGTCTGTAAGATTTATTTTTCATTTGAAAGAAGTCCGTTATGCTCACCAAGTCAGTAAAAACCGTAAATGTGTGAAATACTACTGCAATTTACAACAGAAGTTTTCTATTTTAATATATTTTTAATGTAATTTATTCCTGTGATGGCAATGGAATTTTCTTCAGTGTCACATGATGCTTCAGAAATCATTCTAACATGCTGATTTGCTGCTCAAGAAACAATTCTTATTATTATAAATGTTGGAAACAGTGCTGTATTATATTTTTGTGTCAAACCGTAATACAGTGGCCAAAGGTGAGTTTATTATTAGTAATTTCCCCCCCTTAATAGCTAATACAGGTATTTTTGTCTTATGTAGATGTTTACGTATTTTTTACTGGACAACAAGACAAACATTTTGCAGTTTATATTGGGTTTAATTACTTGGTATTGGCGTTGCTCTTCAGTGTTCTGCATTACTCTGTAACTTCCTGCCTCTCTCCATGGTGAGGCTGAGGTGTAGTTTATATCATAGTCATTTCTGTCTCTGATTCAGCTCAGCTGACACCCTACTTTGTACCTGACACAGAAACATTTGCTGTGGGGATCCAGCGTGAGTTTATTATTTGTTGGCTAATGGAAAATTCCTGAATGAATATGTAAGCACTCCTCGGATCCGGCCTGTCTCCCGGACGGAGTAACGCAGCACATGTTTATCAAACTGGCTGTTTTGTTTTATTCCCCACACAAATGGAGGTCTGACACAGCACTTTGAGCGAGGAACCACTATAACATATAACTATGACGTGAGTCTCCGCATACCCTACATTAAAAGCAGGGGAAAAGGACATTGGATTACCTTGCTCTGCTCGAGCTAACTTTAACAATTTCCTGTAGAAAAACAAAAACCAATATGATCTTGCTTTTTATTTAAGGTCCAAGTAAAGTCTCTGGGCTTCTGGGTGGAAAAAATGCTGTGCAGATAAAAAAAGGGTAATGTGCAAGAGTGGGGGTTCTCCTGCGGGCTGTGCCAAAAAACATCTGGAAATGATCTGAGTAGACCTGTGAGCCAGGCAGGAGTAATCGCACTGCTCTAAAACACACAAACACCACCCGCACCAGAAAACAACATAACAGTGTAATACAATACTCAGACAGGCTTGACGGCACGAACACATCAGCAAAGTGTGGGGCGTAAGGCTGGACTACAACATGGCACGATGGAGCAATACAACACATTATACACATGATTTACACAACCGTTCAGCAGTTTGGGGTCAGTAAGTTTGGATTTTATTTTTTAAAGAAACAAATATTTTTGTTCAGCCAGGACATTAACTGTTTTCATCATTGCTAATAATCTTTCTTTAGCACCAAATCAGCATATTAGAATTTCGGAAGGATCATGTGACACTGAAAACTGGAGTAATGGCTGCTGAAAATTTAGCTTTGCCGTCACAGAAATAATTTGTTTAATTTTTAAAATCTATATCAATAGAAATAAAATCTTACTTTCTTTTGTAGACTGGTCATTCTTTTTCATGCAATTCCAATGAATGATGACTGAAGCTTGCAAGCTTCAAAAAGAGTGCAAAGCATCATAAAATTGGTTTGACTCAAATACTACTATGTATTTCAAATCCTCTGAAGCCATGCTGTAGCTTTGTGTGTGAAACATTCTGAAAGTTAAGACGTTAATTACAGAAGTGTTAACTGCTGCAACTGAATCTTTGATTCAGTGAATTTGACTCAGAAAGCCAATTTTTAATTTAGACTGGTTTTGTGAACTGATTCATTGAAAAGATCTGACTCAAACGAAATATTTGTTCAAAATTTGCTACTCTCATGAATGTAGCAAGGATATCTAGAACAGATATCAAGATTTTCAGTGATTAACGGCTAACATTCCTGTCTCTCTCTCCAACAAAGCAATTGTCTGGCTTCAGAAGACTTGGAATATAGTGCATGTAGTGATTTGAACCACTCTATGGTGGTTTTGTGTCCTTTTTGAAGATTGAAATCATCTGGCCCTTTTTATTGTAACTGAATGGAAAAGAGCAACCAGTACATATTATACAAAACATCTCCTTTTGTGTTCCACGGAAGAAAGAAAATCACACAGATATGGAGCGACATGAGGGTGAGTAAATGATCAAATGATGCAAGGAACTTCCGTTCATTGTAATCCACATCATTTTGGACTAGATTGTGCCATATTTTTCTCACACACAACACAATAACACCTTTATAAGCAAAGGAAGTGCTTTGTAAAGCTCCTGTAAACAAACAAACTGGAAAAAAGCGATAACATATTAAATGGATAGAAATATGCTCTCCATCACAAGCTCTTAGCATAGGAATCCTTGCGTTGAGGAGGATGTGTGACTTTAGTGGTATTGTGTGTATGAGAGAAAGAGCGAGAGACCAGGGTCCTGAGAATGAAGATAAAGTGATGCTTCACAGGTGACTGTGGCATTAACCAAGCAGCTAAACAGCTTTGGTTAAAGGGCAGATCTTATCTGGCCTTTAGTGCATTTAAAAAGCAGGGAAACACGATAAATGGGTGTAGTTGTTTTTTGTAGAGATGATTTTGATTCTAACAAAATGGTAATATGTCTGTTGATGTACAGTATACTATCACCATTGATTTTGTCATACAGCAGTGGTGTTGCATAATATTATACGCCACACAGAGCGTTCCGCATCAGTTAGATGACAAACACCAAACCTATTGTGTGTGTGGGTGCAGTTTTGCCTACATTGTGGGAACCAAATTGCTAAGTTAATATGCTAAATAATTTCTTAAAGGGATAGTTCCCCCAAATATGAAAATTCTGGCATCATTCATTCACCCTCATGTCATTCCAAACCAGTGTCATGTAATTATTATTTATATATTATTATTCTATTTATTTAGCTTATGTTTTTAGTAATTTTATTATGTGCATTTGTCATTTTTATTATTTTTTTTTATATTTCGATTTAGCTTTAATTTATTTTTATTTCAGTTTTTGTAATTTTAGTTCTTCAACTTAATTTTCAGTTAGTTGCCAAGGCTAAGTTTTGCTAAGTTTTTCATTTATTTCAGTTTTTCCAGCTAATGGAAAAAAGGTAAAAGTTTTAATTTTAGTTAACAATAACAGCACTGTTCCAAATCAAAACCTGTATGACATAAAACGATATTTTAAGAAAGTCACAATGTGTTTTTTTTTTCTTTGTCCATACAATGAAAGCTAATGGTCTCCAAAGCTGTTTGATTTTATGGAATAGAAATGTAATTCGTTCCGTATTAAATCACTTGTGAGTGTGGAACATATCTGAGTGATTTTAGCACAATGCTATGCGGTTGCACAATGCAATCCCATTTTATCTTTCACTAGGTAAAAATTGTAAGTAAGTTGTAAAAGAACACCATTTCACAACAAGTTTCAGGATTTGACATATTATTCATGTCTGTAGCACAAATGGTGTGGGAAAAGATACTTTTGAGATATTGACGCTTTGTAGAAATCCTTAACAAGCATGACTACAAACAACTGTGAGGGACGTGATAAAGTGTGAGGATTTATAGCATAGTTTAAGTCCTAGTTTTACCTCTGATGTGGTTAACAAACACATTAACACATTAACTTCAGACTTCCTCTTTCCGTCTCAAATACTGAACAACTTGGAGGGCTGTATGCAAATCTATCGTCTACTAAAACAATGGTCCATATCAACCAAAACAATTTGACACGAGTTTCTGTGAGAACATTGTGACTTCATGGGGTCGGTGGCATTGAGAGTCAGGGTAGTACATCTACTCTGTCTCGTTGGTGTCATGATTATTGGTAAGTGCTGAATTCCTGTTATCATTCAATCACTGTCACCAGCAGACCCAGCATGCTCATTTCCTGTCACCTAGGCAACCTGAGCTATTACAACAGCTCATATCTTCCCAATCCGCTCTCTCTCCTCTGTATTATTCGTCTCTGTCCCTACAGCCATCCCTGGAGTGAATAACATTTCAGCATTGTGTCTCGTCTCTTATTCACAGTTATCCTCCTCTGTGTCTGCAGATTACCCAGTGCACCAGCCTACAGGCTGATGACATTTGCTTTGCTTTGATGGATGACAACTCCAGCCAATCATCAGCCACCATAGACAGCGAAGAAGATCGGAAGAGTGCCTTAGAAAAAAGCATGTGTGTGAGAAATGTCCTTTATTTGCAACTTGTGTTAAGTAACATAGGAAATTCTTATTTTAGACTGCTTATGTAACAGAAATGCTTAATTTAAATCTTTTTGATGTGGTATTACTTTGAGATTTCAGTTGCAGTATTTAACAGAGCAGGCATCAGATGTTCATCAGTACACCACAGTCACGTCATCCCTGATGGAAAATCCAGTTTAAAGGGATAGTTCACCCAAAAATGAAAATTACCCCATGATTTACTCACCCTCAAGCCATCCTAGGTGTATATGACTTTCTTCTTTTAGATGAATACAATCAGAGTTATATTATAATGTCCTGGCTCTTCCAAGCATTATAATGGCAGTGAATGGGGGTCGAGATTTTGAAGCCCAAAAAAGTGCATCCATCCATCATAAAAGTACTCCACATGGCTCCACACACGCATTCACGAGAGAGTGGCGTTCCAGCAGATGACATAGGTCGGACATGCTAGGATATGCTAGTCTTGCGAGAACCAAGTTTTGTTTACAGCAAAGGGAAACCAGTCTCCTCATATATTGAAATTCTTCAACATTTTTCTTTACAAATCCTCGTTTTGTACTTCTAATTCGTGACCGGTGTTTTATTTTGCTCTCTTCTGCGCTTCCACGTTTGTCACTTCTCACCGGAGCTTACGCTACGCCTATGTCCTTCGTTCTCATGAGCGCGTGTACATCAGTTACAAAGCTTGAAAGAGCCAGGACATTTTTTTAAATATAACTCCAATTGCATTCATCTGAAAGAAGAAAGTCATATACACCTAGGATGGCTTGAGGGTGAGTAAATCATGGGATAATTTTCATTTTTGGGTGAACTATCCCTTTAAGCCAGTCGGTGGTTGTTAACTGGTTCAAGCTGGTAGACTGGCAGGCTAGTCCCAACAGTTTAAAGTTGCCAGACTAGTTTTTGAATCATGGTAGTGAAGGATAATGATCATCTTGGACCATCTAATGACAAAATTCGACCCGCTATTACTATCCAGCCGGCAACTAGCCACCAAATGGTCAAAATCAAATTGTCAAACCTTTGTTGTCCAACATAATAGCTTTTAGACCAGGTAATCAGCTAAAAAAAACAGCTAGAAACTTGTTAGCAGCTGGCCATAAGTGGTGAAACATGCTAGCTGGTAGACCAGCTAAAGATCATCTTAAATCAGCTAAAGATAACTATAGATCAGCTAATGACCTTCCTAGATGAGCTAATTATCAGCTTGGACCAGCTAATGACTGTCTTTACCAGCTGGCCATAAAAGGTCAAACAGTTTTTTGGAACATGGTAGACCAGCTAAAGATCATATTAACCAACTAAAGATAATCTTAGACCAGCTAATGACCATCTTAGATGAGCCTTAATGACCAACTGTGACCAGCTACTGACCATCTTAACTAGCCATAAACCAGCTACCAGCTGGCCATAACAGGTCAAATTGATTTTTGAAAGAGATAGCTGCTAGACCAGCTAAAGATAATCTCAGACGAGCTAATGACCAGTTTGGACCAACTAGCTAGAACCAGATACCAGTTGGCCATACAGGTCAAACTGTTTTTTGGATCCAGCTAAACATAATCTTAGTCCAGCTAATGACCATAATAACTAGCCAGAGGCTAGCTAAAGATCATCTTAATCCAGGTAAAGATAATCTTAATTACTGTTTTAGATAAGCCAATAACCAATTTGGACCAATTAATGGCCATCTTAGTGTAGCTAGAAAGCAGCTACTATGTTCCAAAACACAGCTACCATCATAAACTGGCCCTTCATGTGGTCCACAAATAGCTCCCAGATTATTAATATGCTGCGACCGTCAGAACTCTGCTAATATTACACCCTGTATTACTCACAGCACATGTTTTGAGCTGTCAGATATTGTTAATGTATTGAATGACTTGATGAAACCAATGAAAGCTGACCTCCTTTCTTCTGCAGGTATGTTCTGAAAGAGTTGATAGAGACAGAAAAGCTGTATGTAGCTGATCTAGGACTTATTGTGGAGGTGAGCTTTAAATATCTATTAACAAATCACATGTGGATTTGATCAACTCTGTTATGGAATGCTATCAATTTTCCTGTAATCTTAGAATGACTCAAATGCATTTCAGAGCATTTAATCACCGTAGAATTAGATTTGATGCATCAACTGACCTGAATTCCACCCAGCTGTAATACTGATCACAGTATAAATCAAAGTAATGGTGCCTGGATTTAAAATATTTGGAATATGCTGATCTACATTTTTTTATGAGCGTGATCACAGTTGAAATGTCTCAGATTTAATAATAAAAGAGTGTTTTTATGGGTCATGAGCTGTGGAAGTTCATCATGTTCTGTCTCTCAAAGGGCTACATGGCCACTATGAATGCAAAAGGAGTTCCAGAAGATATGAAGGGAAAAGACAAAATAGTATTCGGGAATATTCATCAGATCTACGACTGGCATAGAGAGTAGGTTTATCTGTGTTTGTGTGTGTGTATATATCACAAATTTGACAAGACTTTCAGTATATTTCAGTATATTCCTAAAACTTCAAGTCAGTTTAGACTGAATTGTCCTCAGCTTGTCCTTGCAATTTATTTTTTTGGGAAAAATCTGTGGAATTTAGTGCATGCAGATTCCATATGGTGCTGCTGATGACTTATCGTGGGCTGAATGTCTGATTCTCCCCTCTGTACTGATCTCAGTTATTTCCTGGGTGAGCTGGAGAAATGTGTGGCTGAACCTGAACGACTGGCCCAACTTTTTATCAAACATGTAAGTCTGTCTATTATTCTGTCTTTCATCTGTCTGTCTGTTTCTAGCAAGGGTGAGCAGAACTTCTCATGCACTGAGTAAACAGAGCTGAGAAAACACAGGGGTTTTTAACACGCACTCCCATTTTAACACCCCATTTATTCTCCCATCATCCCACTCTATTTCTTGAGGCTGTGTGTTTGCTTGTGTTGTGTCCATTGGCTCACAACCACAAGGGAAGAAGAGGCGGGAAAAGTAAGAGGAGGAACAACAAGCACAGCTACGTCCTTTGATAACACTGCTGCACACACCGTGTCTATTTCTGGAGTTCAGTCCTACACTATGGACATACACACATAAATACACAACACAATTCCTGGCACCCACAGGCGTACACGTTAAAAACTAAAATTAGCAGATTTACAGTTGTGGAAGTACTTTGCAGTAATTTGTTAAAAGCTACCACATGCTGTGATACAAGTTTTGGTGGTGAATCAAAGCGTTTTGCTTAAATGAAAAGCACTGTTACTGTACGAACTGGCGTCTGTCAGTGTTTGCCCTTTCTACCGTTTAATGAGTCTGAGCCCTTTGGGTAATAACTTAAAAAGACTTGAAGGTAATAAAGAAACATAACAAAAATCTAAAGGTTGAGTCAAACTGTGAAACAAACGTAGTGGGAAATTGGTTGGTAATGAGAAACAGTAATGGAGGGTGAGTGAGGGCCAGACTGTCCCCCCACTCTGTCTTTTTTCCTTTCACAAACAAGACCTTCCCCTATCTCTCTCTAATTTCCTCAGCCTCAGCTCTCACCCCCTCTTTTAACTCATACACTACATAAAGTTGTTAGACACCGAAGTTATGTCAGGACTTTCCAACTTCCAGTGATTGATGCGTAAGGCAATTAAATTAAGACAATGGGTTGCAAAATCCTTCAGCTGGTCTTCAACAGTCTTATAAGGACATGTCACTGCACTGGAAAAAAAATCTGAATTAGTATGTTTTGCTATTTTCCAGTAAGCAAACAAATAACACAAATTACAAAATACCTGAAGCAAAGTTGAACAATTTTGACTCATTATTATTATTTTCCTAGTTTTAAGCATAAATGAAGCAAATTAGTGAGTTTATTCTACTTTATAGTAAGGTTATATTTGTTAACATTAGTTAATGTATTAGGTAACATTAACTAATAATAAAAAACTAATTTTAACATTTTTATTAATGTGTTATTTACTGTAAATGTCAAATAAATAAATGTAATTTGTAAATATCCCATTGTCCTTTTGTAATTTGTGTTCATTCATAAGACATCAATATATATATATA